AGAGAGAGAGAGAGAGAGAGAGAGAGAGAGAGAGAGAGAGAGAGAGAGAGAGAGAGAGAGAGAACAACTTGGTGTTGGGGGAAAATGCTTGTAATTATTGTTGTTGCTATGCCATTTTTGTAAATGCCTTTGCTAATGAACTGCCCAGTGGCTTTGTTAAAGAGGAATTGTTGATAGAGGAATCATAGTAATGGAGGCTCATGAGTTAATGTTAAGTAACACACAGGGTTACCCCTAGGACCCCGAAAGTAGTTGAAGACATCCCTCTGGGAATCCAAATATCAGTGCCAGTTAAAGATGGGTAAGAGAGCCTAGAGGGTAACTACTGTTGTGTATACATTGAATATTCCTCCTCATAACAAAGAAAAACATTTAATTGAAAACAACAAAAATGAAATGAGTCTGATGGTATATGCAATGTTCTACATATCCTTAGGTCTCTATCTCTATATTTAGAGGAGGGAAATATGTTTCAGTATCTATTCTCTAGGACCAAGGTTGTTTATTGCATTTAATCTTTTTAGTAATTTTTTTAAATTGACATTGTTGTAATCATTGTAGGTCTTGTGTTCCTGGTTCTTTCTTTACTCTGCATCAGTTCATGTAAGTCTAGTCCTGTTTCTCCAAGTTCTTTTTATTCACTCTTTTCTATGGCATGATTGTATTTTATCACATTCACATACCATTGTTTACTTATTCCCCAATTGACGGGTACCTACTTTGTTTCCAGTTTTTGTTTTGTTTTGTTTTGGTTTTAATCACTGCAATCCATATGAAGTAATGGAAGTGGGAGAGACCTGGAGGAACATTTGAGAAATGTACCCATGCTGGCACAAAGTGCAAGATCATACTGAAAAATAGTAAAACCATCACAAAATCCAGTACCTCATAAAGGCTTGGGTTTTTATATTGATTCTACTATTTTCAACCTTTGTGACTGTGGGCAAATTCTTTCACTTCTTTGCGCCTCAGTTTCCTCATTTGTAAAATGAGGAGGTTGGACTAGATGATCTCTGAGGTCTCTTTCAGTTCTAGATTCAGTCAACTATTTTTGTCTTTGCCTTCTCTTCACCAGACAAATAGTAGGCGCTGAATAAATGTTTGTTGATTGCAAGTATTTGTTGATTGCTTAGTATTTTTCAGGGACTATGCTTGGCACGTGAGATAAAACAGTCTATCATCAAACAATTTACCTCCTATCAGGAGAGGCTGCATGTATATGTATATCTATATACATATATAGACAAATATATGTATATATAATATGTGTATGCATATATATATGTGTCTGTCTATGTGTTTTCTCTCTATTGTACTTGCTCTGGGATATTTCTTTTTTTTTTTTAGGCAATTGGGGTTAAGTGACTTGCCCAGGGTCACACAGCTAGTAAGGTGTCAAGTGTCTGGTCTGATGTAAGATTTGAACTCAGGTCCTCCTAACTTCAGGGCCAGTGCTCTATCTATGGGATATTTCTTCAAACCTACTCTCACACTCAAAGTTTGGATTCCCAGAGGATGCTGAATATTTTGGTTTCTAAGGATGACTTGTGAGTCTATATTTCTAACATTATATAGCTTATGAGCCCCCATGGTGTGCATCTCATTTACAGTTAGGTAGTAAATACAATTAACTGAAAGGAAAGGCATTTATCAAGAGGACATAGTAAGAACAGTAGCAACAAAAATATTCCCACCATAAGCCTGGGGAGCATTTTCCCACAAATATACTTTCATATGTGTATAAAATAGCTTTCATATGAAAAGTAGATGTAAATTTAGAGTACGATGGTAGTGTTGTACACATGTAGAGAATCTGTGACCAAGGCAATTTGTGATTCCAGAACTCCAGGGCTTTGATGTTTCTTCTTTATGGATTCCTCATGAAACTCCCTCTTTGCGTGCAGTATTTTGGCTAGGCAGGTTACTCAACTCAGCTGCCATATCTCAGCTTTTGACTATCAGGGCTAAGTCTCTCTTGAATCCATTGCTAACTCTCTTCTATGATGCCAGAGCTCACAATCTTCAAAACTGCTTCTGACCTCAAGTGACTGCCTCTCTGGCTCTTTGATGAATGTGTGACCCTGTTCCCTGATGTATGCATCTTAACTGTGCTTAGAACTTACTTTAGCTGAGAAGCTCTCCAGCTGCTGAATGGGGTGGATCATACTGTGTAAATAGCACCATCGCTGGATGGTTGATCCGGTGGGAAGAAGAGAAACTCTCCTTCTTCTCCTTGCTGCCCTCTGGTATAGGGACAAGTCTCCTTTTCTAGAACTGCTTAAAGCATTTTAACCTGTATATTTACTCTAAATAGAATGTTTTACTAGTGGGGAGTGAGGATGCAGTTGATTACCCTCAAACTTGTGATTGACTCCAGGACTTAAATTCTTCTGGGAATGCTGACAGTTTTTTTTTGTTCATCTAATGGTCAGATTCCTTTTAATTTCATTGGATAAAGATGTTCGCACTTTGTAAAAGAGAACACCACGTTCTTGTTAACACCTTGTTTGGGCATTGTTATATCTCATCCATGATTACATCTGGCGACTACATCAATTATACTTGAGTAAGGGAGTGGGAAAAAACCAGTTCCCCTCTCTCTTATACATAATACACACAGGCATACCTCAGAGATATTGCAGGTTTGATTCCAGACCACTGCAATAAAGCAAATATTGCAATAAAGTGAATCACATTTTTTTTGGTTTCCCGGTGCATATAAAAGTTATATTTACACTATATTGTAGTCTATTAAATGTGCAATAGTATTATGTCTAAAAACCCAATGTACATACCTTAATTAAAAAAATACTTTATTGCTAAAAAAAAAAAGAACATGCTAATCATTATCTGAGCCTTCAGTGAATTGTTATTTTTTTGCTGGTAGAAAGGCTTGCCTCAATATGGATGGCTGTTTTCTGATCGTGGTGGTGGTTGCTGAAGGTTGGGGTGGCTGTGGCAATTTCTCAAAATAAGACAACAATAAAGCTTGCCTCATCGATTGACTCTTTCTTTCACTCGAATACTCAGGGATAATTGTAGGGTTATTAATTGCCCTAATTTCAATGTTGTTGTGTCTCAGGGAATAGGGAGGCCTGAGGAGTGGGAGAGAGACAGGGTCAGCTGATTGGTGGAGCAATCAGAACAAACATGACATTTATCAATTAAGTTCACCTCTTACATGGGCATGGTTCCTGGAACCCCAAAACAATTAGAATCGTAACATCAAAGATCACTGATCACAGATCACCGTAAGAAATATAATAATAATGAAAAAGTTCGAAATATTCCAAGAATTACTAAAATGTGACACAGAGACACAATGTGAGCACATGTTGTTGGAAAAATGGCATCAATAGACTTGCTCGATGCAAGTTGGCACAAACCTCCAAACTGTAAAAAACTCAATGTCCTTGAAGCACAATAAAGTGAGGTTCAATAAAACAAAGTATACATTATAAATACAGGATAAGTTTAAGATACTAGCAGCTAGAAGGATTATGAAAGGCTACGTGTAGGAAGTGGTATTGAAGTTGACCTTTGAAGAAAACTAAGAAACAGATGTGAGGAGGGAGTACGTTTTGGGTCTGGGGGATAGACCATCCAAAGGCATAGTGATGGAGGATAGAGTTTTGTATATGAGGAATAGTAAGAAGGCAAGTTTGGCTGGACTAGATTGGGCATGAAAGGGAGTAATGTTTCATTGGAAAGGTAGATTGAAGCCAGGGCTTTGAATGCCAAACAGAGAAGTTTGAATTTGATCCTAG